TTTGAATGTTATAAAATTCACATTTTTGTTGTTTTAAGGGATCATAAATCAAATTAAATCCATGTTTGTAAATTTCATTGCAAATACATTAATTAATCGACTAGGTACCGATTTAGGGCGCTGTGGGGGTGCTAATCATTCCCCACGCGTAACCGACTCCCGAACTCATTTTTTGGTGATGTAGACCTCAATTTTTTGTTTTAATTAATTAATTTTATTTAAAATACAAAACGTTTTTGGGTACCCAATCACACTCTAATCAAAGATTGGTGGCGACTCCTCGAACCGTATTTTTCTATCATAAAGGAAATCCCAAAACTTTTAAAACGAGAGGTTTTTCAAATCACGTTCACTCTTAATTAAAATTAACTCATAGAGGGATAATTAAAAATGGTGTCGTTTTTAAAATCTCACTTGTTAAGAAAAAATCGTTTCGACGGCTTCATTATGAATGAGAAAAAAATCCTTCTATGAATAAGCAATATTCAATTTTATTTGAGGGAAGGTAAATTTTATTTGGAGGGTAGTTGAAAAATTACCTCCAATATATCTAAACATAATTATTAAAAATTAGAAAAATATAGAAAATTTAGATAAATTAAAAATAATTTAAAATAGTTATTAAAAATAAGGAATGTTCAATTTAAATAATTATTAAAAATAATTTAAATAAATATATTTATTTATATGTATTTTTAAAAGAAAATAACTTTTAACATATATTAAATAATTTTTAATATATTTTAAAGAATTTTTTTGGATTGAATATTAAAGAAAAATTTTATTATTAAAAAAAGTAGCAATTCCTAAACTTAAAAAAATAATGGGTTTACGTGTAAAGCTTCTTCAAACAAAAAAAGCAAAATATGACAATAATTAAATTGTCACTTTTGTGACCGTAATAAAATGTCACTTTTAGTGTCTTATAAAATATGACAAATTAAATTGTCACGAATAAAACTTATTAGTGACAAATGTGCAACGCCACTAATTCAAATTGAATCGTCATTATAATAAATCTTCATTAATATTTGTTTTTCATTGGATACAATTTTATAACGTCATTATTTTATCTAATGTCATTAAAAGGTTTCCTACCAAAATATTTGGTGGGAAGATTTTGCCGCCAAACATATAGTGAAAAAATCAATGACCATTTAGAAAATTGTCATAAAAGATATACCATTAATCAATAAATATGAAGAAAATAAAAAAAACATCACATAATAGTATGTTTTACGATGATATACATAACGTCATATAGAAATTTTTTCATAAATTGAAAAATTTGTTGTAGTGAAAGGACAAAACAACATCCGTTTGCCTCACATAGATGAAGCAGATACGCATAATGGTCTCCAGCTTTTACACGCGCTTCTTAGTTTCTCGAGATGATGTCACTATAGTCCCCATTCTTGTCATGATAACAATTTTTGTACCTCTTTCGAGCGTCTTATTGTGGCTATCCTCATCGAAGCCCATTACCTCAGAAATCTTGTCTTTGGTTATGCCAGTCTTCGTTGGAATAATCTTTTCAAATATCACCTCTACTACCTTTAACTTTTTGCATACGATTGTGATAAAAATGGGAAAATCACCATGCCCTTTTTTTCCTTGACACAGTTGTATACTTGTTGGTCGAGCCCTCAACAATATCTATCAGGTGCCCAAAAATAATGGAATGCAAAAGAAGCATTCGCTGCATAGAGATAGTTGTATGGTGCGAGGTAGCATTAATATATTTTTTAAGGAAGTGATTTCATACCTTTGCTTGGGGCATAAGACAACTCCTTTCCACGCTCCATTTGCTCAAGTTTTTTTTCCTTCCATTATGTCCTTTGGAAACAAGGATCTTCCAAGACTCCCATGTAGGTTTCAACATCTAACTCAACAAAAAAAATTTTGCATGGTTGTTGGGTAGGTGCTTCAGCTTGAAGAATCGGTTGATGGCTTTCAAAGTAAAATACTTTGAAGGCTCGGTAAAAATTCCCTAAATATGGCTTAGCAACGTCATCTAAATGATTAGCAATACTTCCCACTTGTATATTTCTATAAAATTCATCACTTTAGGAACGAGAGCCTATTACCTTCAACCGGCATAACAAAACCTTTCTCCAGGTACGTCGTTCGACCTTTGATGTACTAGAATCACTCCCTCGCTATGCCGTCTTTGAATTTTTTAAAAAGGGTTTGTGGTGGAGATTTATAGGAATATTTCTCACCGAAAACATTCTTACATAGGGCCATCTATGCTATAATAAAAGAAAATGAAGAAAAGATAGAAAAGCTTAGGCGATGGATATGAAGGGTTTCTATGAAAATAAGAAGTTGATAACAAAAGCTAAAGAAAGATAAAAAGATAAAGTGAGGAAGGTAAAGGTTTTGGATGATTAAATACAAAAGGGGTTGGTGTGATATGGACGTTTTGGGAAAGTAAAAAGTAATGGGGGAGTTAACGAAAAGTGGTAGAGGGAAGGAAATAAATAAGTAAAGAGATTTGATTAGTGAGATTAAAAATTAAAAATTACAAAAATTTTGCTCTCTCATTATTTTTGTAGCCTAAACCAAAAAGGTGATAGGGTTTCTTTTTGTCATCTTTCAAGATTTGTCCCTACATTATAATGTGTCCTTTGATGAACTAATGAAAACAAACTAAGTTAAAATTAAACTAAAAAATATATAAAAGAAACAATTAATTGAAAATAAATCTTTTATATACAAACTACGAAAATCAAATGTTGTAGCTAAACTTTTTAAAGGGTACGTGATGCAAACTCTGAAACATCATATAGGAGAAGGGTTAATTTGTCTTTCAATATCAGGGCTCCAGCATACACTTTCAGGCGTCGACCATTCACATTAAAGATTGATGCATCGACAATGTTCTTGATGTTAAAAACCCCATGGGGGTACACATGATTAATAAGGAATGGTCCATACCATCGGGACTTAACCTTTCCCAGGAAAAGCTTCAGCCTAGAATTGTATAGAAGGACTTGTTGGCCTTCATGAAATTGCTTCGACAAAACTTATTTGTCGTGCCAACATTTATTATTATTTTTTTGTATATGCAGGCACTGTTATAAGATCGGCCACAAAATTGCTCCATTTTATTTAGCTCTAGCAACCTTTTCTGACTAGCTAGCTGGGCACCCATGTTAAGCTTCTTGATCTCCTATTAGGCCTAGTGCTCTAGCTCGATAGGTAGATGATACGCCTTGTGATAACTCTCCAAAAGAGTTAATCTTTAGTAGCCTTATTCACCTAGGTTTAGCTTGAACTTAAGCATGTTTAAGAATATTTTAGGATTAAAATTACTTAATTTTACATACTTTTCATGGTAGGAGCATCGTGGATTGCTAAGGCTAAAATTAATTTTTGTTGCCAAAAACGTTTGCACTAATGCCATATCACTGCAGGAAATGTTGATCGGATGATGTAGCATTCGTCTCAACTCCAGACGTTTGGGAGAATATTCTGGATTGGGACAGCTGGCTTGGGTAGTTGTCACGTGGTTAGATAACAACTGAAACGTGGACCTTTCCCATTGGGCGATGAAATTCTCATCCAAGCTATAAAAGGGGTGTACTTGGGTGCAAACGTGTGACGATTGTGAGAGATCCAATGTACCATTTTCAAAGTTAATTCTTTCCAAGCCATGAAAGCCTAAGTCCTCTACCAAGGATTGGTGCAGCATAAGGAAAGCTTGCTGAATAGCTTTAGCAGTCAACGGATCAATATTTAATGCCTTCTATTGCGAAAGGGAGTGATTTGAATGTTTAAACTTTTCTTGGATGTTTATTATGAATTTCCTTATTTTGTGTTTACTTGGGTACTTGGTTTATGAGCTTTGAACTTCATGATTGTGAGTAAAAAAAATTACAATTAGATATATAGTATTTTCGTTTCAATCTAGAAATAGTTTTATTCAGATTGTTATATACATTTGTGAACATTGACGTTATTGAGTAACATAGGTATATTGAAAAGTGTGCAACAATTGATTAATATTGTTAATAGTTTGAGCCTTTAATTAATGAAAGTTATTAAAGTAGTTCAAATGGTTTTAATCAATCCTAGTCACATGGACTAAGTGTGCACTGTTTGCATAAAACTTGGAAGTCATAATATTAAATCATTTGATTCGATGGTTGACCAATTGCTTTCTAGAATGTTGTAGCATGAATTGGTATATTCTATTATTGATTTCATTACTTTCTTTTTAGCATCTCAAATATTTAGTAAATCTTACAGCTGAAAACTCTAATGAAAACATTATACTCCCTATGGGTTCGACATCCGTAGCATTAATTGCTACCACTTTATTACTTGAGCGATACGTATACTTGTGTTAAATGCTATAATATCTTATGTAGCATCAAGTTTTTGGCACCGTTGCTGGGGAGCATCGGTTTGATTTAGTGTTCTTTTAGTTTTTCTTACTTTTTTGTTTTCTTTTATAGGTTATCTTAGTCTCTGATTTTACTAGTGTATGCCCAGAGATTGAAAGAACATTTCACAGAAGTCTCCGTGAAGCTGCTATGGTTGGACGGGGAAATGCTATTTTACCCCCGCTATATAATGAAAAGAATGATGAGTTGCCAACTGGTATTAGAGTTGGGTAACCATATTAGAATGTAGATTATCGTAATTTCCCTACTCGTGAGCATGTGGTGTCGGCATTGAATGATCTACATCCGAGGATTGTGAGGCCAATTATTAATTTGAATTAAAGTTGGTTATGTTCCAAATGCTACAGTCTATGGGAGAATGTGGAGGCTGAAGACCCTAGAGCCCATTTGTGAGGTTTTGTGGAGGTTTAGGATTCTTTTATTCAGTAAGGTGTTCCAGAGGAAGCACTGAAGCTGAAGCAATTTCCTTATTCATTGCGTTATAAAGCATGAGTTTGGTTGAGTTCACTGACACCAGGTGCTATAGTATCCTAGAATAAATTAGCGTAAAAGTTCTTGTTGTGATTTAACCTACTGAATATGAATACTAAGCTTTGAAACAATGTAAATTCATTCAAGCAGATGGATGATGAAAGCTTGTACGAAGGATGGAAAAGATTTAAAGATTTACTGTAGAAGTGTCCTATGCATGGATTTCCATATTTGACTCAAATGGAGATGTTTTATAATGGGTTATATATCCACACTCGAATAGTGGTTGATACCTCAGTAAATAGAGATTTACTTAATATGACATATAACGAAACATAAAATATCCATGAGAGAATCTCCACTAACGATTATCAATATCCTAATACGCACAACACAATTGGTCGATATGGTGCTCAGCAGTAGACGCAAAAGCTTTCAATTCTATGGCATCTCTGATTTCAGCATTGACTAAAATGGTGAAGAAATTACATATGCCAGGAGGAATGTATGAATTCAAAGTTGCATCTCTTATCACTTGTGTATATTGTGGCGATAACCATAATTTTGATGTATGCCCCCAACATCTGGAGTCTATCTACTATGTGCGAATTTATCCAATTAATGATAAAACTTTTGGCAATACATAAAATCCAAATTTTTGAAATTATCCCAATCTTTCTTGAAGATGTTAAAATGTTTCCAATCGACAACATCAACAATAGAAACCGCAAAATTACACTTAGCAGAGAAAAATTCTGTAGCTGTAGGCACAATAATTTGTTGCTCAAACGCATCAAAGGCAGAATTACCAAGGCCAGTCATCAAACCAAACTTCAATCTTAACACCTTTTTAAACCACAATGTAAGAATATACGGCGAGCCAATCTGCCTCATTAAGGGCTATTGAGAACCATATGAGAGAAATGGCTAATGCTTTAAATAGTCGATTGCTAGAATCGCTCCCTAGCGACACTAAGAATCCTAAGAAAAATGGTAATAAGTATTGGAAGGACATTACCACATAAAGTGGAATTAATATTGGGGAACCAATTGAAGAACCGAGGAGAAATGAGGATGCTCATCAGCGTGGTAAAGGGAAGAGAAAAGAGGTTGAGGATGAACCGCATGAAAATAGTCAATTCACATTAACAGATACAGGCAGAGTAATAATTTAGAATTTTTGTCAACAACAACCCCTACTGCATCTAATGCAGAGTTGACTCCATTCCCTCAGCAACAACAACCAAAACTACATCCACCATTTCTACAATACTTCAAGAACACAAAGGAAGACCAACAATACAAAGCTTTTATTGATGTCATTTGCCAAATCTCAATTAACATTCCATTTATTGATTCCTTAGAGAAAAATCAAAATTATATCAAATTTATTAAGGAAGTTCTTTTAAATAAATGAAGACTTGGTGAGTTTGAGATAGTTTCTCTTACTGAAGGCTATAGAGCTATGGTAACAAGTTAATTGCCACTAAGCTTAAGGATCGAGGGAGTTGCACTATTCCTTGTAATATTAGTGACACATTTGTAGGTAAAGCTTTACATGACTTGGGTGCTAGCATAAATCTAATGTCATTGTCAATATTTAGGAAATTTTGAAGTACCGAGGCAAGGCCCACAACGGTTACTTTGCAACTTGCTGATTGCTCTACCATGCATCCTAGTAGTAGTGTGGAGAACATGGTTGTGTGAGTGGACAAATTTATCTTTCTTACGGACTTCGTTATTCTAAATTGTGAAGTAGACAAGGAAGTTGTATTTATTCTCGGCCACTCATTCCTTGCCACAGGCCGAGCTTTGATTGATATTGAAAGGGGATAATTAACTATACATTTGAATGATGAACACATTATTTTTAATGTCTTGAATAATTTTCTTACATCAATGACAATTCTGACTATTTTTCACTTGATGTGATTGATATTTTTACACATGAGCATTTTAAGGAATGCTATAATACATATACAACTTTATGTGATTTAGAAGCATTCTAAGAATTATTGACTGATGAAGAAGCCAAATAATATAGCAAGTATTTCCAGAGTATTGAACCTTTGTAAATGAATGATCATATTTTTCAAGCACCAAAGCCATCTATAGAAGAACCACATAAGTTTAAATTGAAACATTTTCTAGAGCATTTGAAATATGCTTATCTTAGAGAAAATGAGATATTGCCAATCATTTTAGCCATACAACTTACAACGTCACAAGAAGACCAACTGATTGATGTGCTAAATCAACATAAGAAGGCTATTGCATTGAGCATTGCTGATATAAAAGGTATTACTCCATCATTTTGCATGCACAAAATTATTTTGGAGGATCCCAATAGTAGCTCAATTGAACATTTACAGAGATTAAATCCAATCCTGAAAGAAGTGATTCGAAAGGAGATTATCAAATAGTTGGATGTTAGGATTACATATCCGATTTCATAGAACAATTAGGTTAGTCCCTTGCAATGCGTTCCAATAAAGGGTGATATTACTGTGGTGACAAATGATAAAAATAAATTAGGGCCAACAAGAACTACAACTGATTGGAGAATATGCATGAACTACAAGATGCTCAACAAAGTAACAAGGAAAGACCATTTTCTATTGCTATTTATATGCGAAATACTAGATCGACTTGATGATAATTCTTTTATTATTTTTTATGGATATAATTGTTACAATCAAATTGCTAGAGCTCTAATAGACTAGGACAAAACAATGTTCACATGTCCGTATGGTACCTTTGCTTTTCGTAGGATGTCGTAAGGGTTATGTAATGCTCCAGTGACATTCCAGCGCTATATGATGGTCATTTTCTCCTACATGATTAAAGATTATATTGAAGTTTTTATGGATATTTTTTAGTCTTTGAGCATGACTTTCAGAAGTGTTTGAGCAATTTGGCTGCAGTTTTGAAAAGATGTGATGAGACCAACTTAGTTTTGAATTGGGAAAAATGTTATTTTATGGTCATAGAAGGTATAGCGCTAGGGAACTGAATTTCAAACCGTGGCATTGAAGTGAAGTGGATAAAGAAAAAGTAGAGGTTATTGAAAAGTTGTCATCACCTACTAATGTGAAGGAAGTTCGAATCTTTCTTGGTCATGCTGATTTCTATAGAAGGTTTAGTAAAGATTTTCTCGATTGCTAAGCCATTGTGCTCATCGCTAGAGCAAAACAGGAAGTTCATTGTTGATGACGAAGTGTTTCAATCTTTTGAGACAATTAAATTGAAGCTAGCGAATGACCCTGTTAATATAACACCATATTAGAGTTTTCCCTTTGAATTCACGTGTGATTTCGCTGTCGGAGCAGTGCTGGGGCAATGAAAAGATAAAATGTTTCATGTTATACACTATGCAAGTTGGAGATTAAATGAAGCCTAGGTCAATTGCACTCTAATTGAAAAGGTGTTACTGACTGTGGTGTTTGCTTTTGATAAATTATGTTCATATCTTGTGGGCACGAAAGTGATTATCTATACTTACACTCACGGCTGAAGTATTTTTTCGCCAAGAAGGATGCAAAACCTTGTTTGATCTGATGGGTGCTTTTACTCCAGGAAATTGATATTGAGATCTGGGATAAGAAGGGTTCTGAAAATCAAGTGGCTGATCATTTATCTAGATTAGAATTTTGAAGTAAAGATGGTTTTATTTTGGTAATTCTAGATGAATTCCTTGATGAGTGTCTGTTAGCCGCTATAACATTACCATGGTATATTGATTTTTCCAATTATCTAGTTAGTGGGATAATGCCACCAGACCTTAATTATCAAGGTCGAAGGAAATTTATGCGGGATGTAAAGTAATACCATTGGGAGGAGCCATATTTATTTAAGTAATGTAATGATCAACTTATACGGAGATGTACCCCCAATGTGAGCAGTAAAGCATTCTACAGCATTGTCATAGTGCCCCATATGGAAGACATTTTGGTGGTATGCATACAACAACAAAAGTTCTTCAGTGTGGATATTATTTTCCATTACTTTTTAAAGATGTTAATGACTTTGTAACGCATTGTGATCGCTGCCAGCGAACTGGGAATATTTATCGACAAAATAAAATGCCAATGCAACCTATTTTGGTTATCGAGTTGTTTGATGTGTGGGGATTAGACTTTATGGGTCTAGACCCTTCTTCATATGGAAACCTGTTCATTCTAGTTAGTGTTGACTATGTATCCAAATAGGTGGAAGCTATAGACTTTCCAAATAGCAATGCTAAAGTAGTGTTGCTAAAGCATTGAATAGATATGGTGTGAAGCAGTGTTTGATGTGTTCATTATTGCACAAATACATTTTCACTCGCTTTGGAATCTCTCGAGCATTTATTAGTGATAAAGGATCTTAATTTATTGGTCATCAGGTTGTAGAGCATTGAATAGATATGGAGTGAAGCATAAGTTTCCTAAAGCATATCAGCCACAATCTAATTGTCAAGCCGAAGTGACTAATCGAGAAATCAAACAAATTCTTAAAAAAATGGTGAACCCTTCTGAAAGGATTGGTCCCAACGCCTTGAAGAAGCATTATGGGATTATAGGACTTCCTACAAGACTTCATTAGAGATGTCCCTTTATCATCTTGTTTATGGTAAAACTTGTCACTTACTAGAAGAGTTGGAGCATAAAGCTACGTGGGCACTAAAGCGACTGAATTTTGATCTAGATGCTCCAGGAAAACAACAGATGTTGGAGTTTAATAAGTTGGAGGAACTCTGAAATAATGCCTATGAGAGTTTACACATTTATAAAGACAAGAGCAAGAAGTGGCATGATCAAAATATTTTCCCAAAGGAATTCATTGTTGAACGACAAGCGTTGTTATTTAATTTGACTCTAAAGTTATTCCCTGAGAATTTACATTCTCTTTGGTCAGGCCCTTTCGAAGTTCTTGAATTTTTCCCTCATGGAACAATATTATTGAAGAACTTAGTGGCTAGAAGCACATTTAAAGTCAATGGGTAGTGTTAAAAGCATTATTGCCAGCAACAAAGCCCTAGCATCGGTTAAATCACACTAAGCGACCCCTTTCTTTTTGATACTTTTATTCTTGTGAATAAGTCAATTCTCGTCACATTTATTTTTAAGTTTGTTTTTTCCATTATTTTTTTCCTTTTGTACAGGTATATTTTTCTTTTGATCATTCCTATTCAGCTTTATTATGCTGTGTAGATCTTCAAATTATGATTTATGTCACTGCTGTA